TTCGTTCCTTCAGCAAACCCCGTATGTTGACTCTTCCCTTCACAAATACGAAGGGCCTACTAGGTATAGTCTACTGAGCGTTGGGAGGAAACGCATAATATACGGGTCTTGCCCTCTAAAACTTAAATTCCAGTTGTCCGTGACTAGCCCAGAGCAGCCCACTGCGAGCTCAAAATTCATGTAAGTCTTGCACTCTGTGCTACACGTCCCTGCTTGTTTTAGTGTGATAGCTGAAAACCGCACAGGGTTTACGATGTGTCAAATGCTATTCTGAGAACTTTTAAAACATAATGCGCTTCATCATAAGAATTCTTCGTCCGGGATGTTATCTCAGTTTGACATGTAGGGGAAACAGAGGAGCAAAGGAATTAGCCCAAAGTCACACAGCAGATGGCTTGGCTGAGACTTGAACCCAGGCAGGTGGGATCGAAGGTCTGGTCTCTTAACCTGTAGACCGGTGGTTCTCAGTCCCCGAGGGATATCTGTCAACGTCTGGAGACGTTTTTGGTTGTCAAAACTAAGGGGGAGGGGGTGCTCCTGGCACGTAGTGAGTAGAGACCAGGGATCTTGCTAAATATCCTACAATGCGCGGGACAACTCACCCAACAAAGCATTATCTGGCCCCAAATGTCAACAGTGCCAAGGCTGAGAAACAATGTGCTCCGTGTAAATATCACCTCTCCAGCGTAAATCATCTACCAGTCGCTCTATTTGACGTCCCCTCTCCCCAGTTAGGTGAGTGAAATCAGTGCTCCAGGAAAATAAGTTTATGTCCTGATCAAGGATGTTGTAAATAAGGGTCCCAACCTCACTGATGGGTTGAGCTGTGTTTAAAAACTGTCTCTGTCCCTCCCCTGCTGGGTGAGTTTGCACAAGTTGCTTCGTCTCTTGGCACTCCAGGTTTTTCTATCTGCCAGTGGGGATGCGCATGACCCCTTTCCTGCATAAAGATTGAATCAGATAATATGTGTCAGGGCCCAGCACAGCACCTGGCACCTCGCTGGTGCTCATTAAATGGTACTTGTTGTTATTAGAGTCAATTACACCGTATGTGGTGGAGTGCCGGGTGCATATGTGCTGTATGTCGCGCGCGTGGGCAAGGGCGGATCAGAGAGGCCTGGGGAACTGTGGCAGGGGAGGAGAGAGGACCCGGGGGGGCCCACAGATGAGAAGTGGGTCTTCTGGGGGGGGGTGTGCTACCTAGGCAAGAGCAGAGGTGCTGGGTTGGGGGGCTGTGGGAGATGACCTTGCGGTTCTTGGCGGATGGTAGCAGGAATGACAAACAGCAAACTTCCACCGAGGGGAGCGTCCGGGGTGATGGGGAAGTAAGTTGGACTTCAGTCGGGGTGAGGTCGAAGCGTGGACTGCCGTTAAGTGGCCTGTGGCAGTGACGACGGAAGGTTGATGTTCCAAGGCAGGGGGAGTGCTTTTGTGCCAATACCTGGGCGGCAGGTGCTTCCAAGACCCAGTTCATGGAGCCCTCGCTTCCTCCCAGGACGCTGCATACGGAGGTGAGGCGCTGGCTTCTGCCACTCGGGTCTTAAGGCATCTTCTCCATTTGCCTGGCAATGGGCCTTTAATCAGATACGTTGCACTTCTGGTGCTATTATTACATGACTCATCCCTTCTAGGAGTGTTCCAGTCATGTTGTAGTTGAGGCAAACACAGATTCTGGAGTCAGAGACTCTCAAGTCGCACTGCGGCCTTGGGCCAAGTGGCTTTACCCCTCTGAAATGCTTTGGTTTTCTCATCTGTAAAATGGCAAGAACACTAACCCCTCAGGGTTGCTCAGAGGAGGAACACGAACCAATTGGACAGGTTACTGTTCCAAGCACTTTGCAGAAATTAGCTCATTGAAGCTGTCTAACAACCCAATGGGCTATATAGACTGTTATAAACTCGATTCTACATACGGGAAACTGAGGCACAAAGCAGTCGCGTGATTTGTTCAGGTCTCAGTGTATCTGGGGCAGAGATGGAGTTTGGTTCTGAGCCTCTGTGCTATGTAAGGTACCCAGCCTCGTGCCTGACTGAAATTAAGAGCTCCAAGATTGTTCGTTTCTTTCCCCCAACACACTGTGGCTACGGATCCCTGAATTGGAAGAGTCACCAGGTAGACATTTGAGCTTACTCCCCCAAACCCATAGGCCTGGCCTTGTCTTTTCTTTTTAACCTCCGTGCTGTTTCCAAGCCGAGCCCGTTCACCTGCATGGTGGCCTTGAGTTGAACTTGGGGCTGTCCCAGGCCAGCCTCGGTCTCCTCCCCAACCGCTCAGCTCTGCCCCACCTCCCCTGCCTGGGCCCCAACCTTGTAGCTGCCTCCCAGCACACCCTGGGAAGGGGCCCCCCCAAATCCAACACACCTTGAGCAGCAGGCTTTGCCCCACCTTTGACTGTCAGCTATAAGAAGGCTTTTCATTGAGCCCAAGGGAGGAGTCCAGCCTGTGACAGGCATAGCAACTCCAGGAGGCCGGACCCTAGAAGCAGCCCCGCTCCCAGAAGCCAACGGAGTGGCTTACAGAGAACACACAGCCCTAGAGCAGCTGCCAGAAAAGGCTGACCTGGACTCAAGGCTCTACCACTTGGGGCCTTGGGCAAGTTACTTAGCCTCCTTATGCCTCAGTGTTTTCATCTGTATAATGGGAGAATAACAACAACCCCCCCCCCCCCCCCCCGCCCCTGCAAGGTTTGAGCACAGCCTGGCTTACTAAATACTGGCTCTCGCTGGCCAGGCAGGCCCTGGCATCCTGCTCAGAAAGCACGTGAGGCCTGTTGTGTGCCAGGCCCTGTGCTGGATGCTTGTTAAGTTGAAATGAAAGGCATGGCTTGTACTTTCATGGAAGCCAATGACTGCAGGATGTCCCCTGTGATCATGGGTTCTGCAGTTGCCTGGGCAAAGTCAAGAAATTCCTTAGGCTAAACAAAGCCCTTCATGATGGGGACACACAGAATCAGCTGAAGTCCTAGCTTTACAGGTACGCCTAACAGTCACAACACTGGGTATCCCTGAACCATCTTACGTTGTGGATCTGGGGTGGGGCTACAGCTCTTAAAAGAATTTTGGAAATTTCATAGAGTAGAAAAATAAGTCACCCACAATCCCATCACCCACTGTGAATCCCATGGGACATTTCCAGATCCTGTGAGAACGTGCTGTGAGCAGGGCAAAAAAATAGTGCCTTTTATTCACAATTTATCTAAGGCATTGCTTCTGATTCTTTTTTTAAGGTTTACTTATTTTGAGAGAGACAGAGAGAGTGAGTTGGGGAGGGACAGAGACGGAATCCCAAGCAGGCTCCGTGCTGTCAGTGTGGAGCTGACGCAGGGCTTGAACTCACGAACCGTGAGATCATGACCTGCGTGGAGATCAAGAGTCAGCCACTTAACCTACCGAGCCATCCCAGTGCCCCTTTGCTAATTCTTTATAAGCTTTTTTAATGGCGTGCTATTGCATTGCATGGATGTACCATGGCTAGTACAACAATTTTCCTATTTTTACCATTCAACTCTTTAAGCGACAGCGTGGCAACATCTTCTTTGGTTTGCATCCCATTCATTCCATCAGCCACCACGTACTGGGCATTGTCAGTGTGCCAGGCATAGCTGTAGACCCTAAGGATGCCACGTTGAACCAGGCAAAGCCTCTTTTTTGGGTGGAGCTTGCATTTCGGTAGGCAGGAAGTAGATCCATTTAAGAAAATTAGGAAAGGGGGAAAGAAGAAAAATAGGAAAGGAGTTAGATTGACACAGATTCTGGGAAAACCTCTTCAAAGAAGTGATCAGAACAGGGAGGTACTTTGGATTTTCTGAGAGAAAACATTCCTAGATACTGGATTCCTAGAAGTGAAATGACTGGGTCAGAGATGTATTGAAAATGTAAAGGACTTTAGACCTGTTGCCGATGGTTTTCCACCATACTCATCACACTGCAGTCTCTCCAGCACAGCATATTATACTTATAAGTATTTTTTTCTGCTGATTTGATAGTTGAAATTTATCTCACTGTTCTAATTTGCATATCTTGGGTTGTTAATGAGGCCCAATTCTTTGCAGTATTTTAGCCACTTGTATTTTCCTCTTCTGTGAATTGTTTGTACGGCACTAACGTGTGTCAGAGGACAAGCACCACAAGGAGGGGACTTCCAAGTGTGTCAAGAGCCACACTTTCTCTCTGTGTAACCAAGAAAGGCTTTGTTGAAACAGTGGCTTATGAGGAAGTGTCTACCAAAGGTTAGAAAGCATGTGGTTCTGACAAAGGGTCATTAAGCCAGGCGGCATGGCATAGGAATAATAGCTACCATTTGGCGGATGGCTGCTTGGTTCCAGGAACTTTCTAGGGGTCACTGTCAATCTCATAACCCTGCACACATAACCTGGACTTGTCCACATTTTATAGATGGGGAAACATTGATGTCTTTATGCTCAGAGGTATAAAAGGACTTGCCTAAGCACACAGCCGCTGATAAGTGGCACTACTGGGATTCGAACTAGCTTCATTGTGTCATGCTGCCCACAGAAGACTGGGTGGTAGGTAAAGCAGGCAGAATGTGTGTTAGCATTTACGTATACGTTAAGTCCGCTGTGTGAGGTTTGGTGTGGATGTGCAGTCTAGAATAAAAGCAGGAGGGAACCATTGGAGGACCGAGAGGACGTGGCGTGCCATGAGTTGATGAAGAGGGGTGGCTTTGCACCCCCTTTCTGACTAAAGGAGAGAGTCAAGACAGAGGCTGAGCCAGAAGGAAGTTGGAGACATCAAAGGAAGTTCAGTGGATAGACTTGAGGCTAGAATGGAAAGAAACACTGTAAGAAGTGGTTAGATTTAGTGACAGCCTAGGTGAGCGGTTGAGGGAGACCCAGAGGAGAAATATGGCACGGAAGAGCCCCCCCTTGGAAGGTAGATTCTCTCCCGAATCTCTGCAACCTAGTTCTTCCCGTCATAGCACCTGAGTGGGCCTCCCTTCAGTGGCTGCTTCGTTAAGCTCTGTTTTCCGTCTGCAGATCATGGCTCCCTGGCCTGAGCTGGAAAATGCCCAGCCTGACCCCAATAAATACATGGAAGGGGACACTAGCCAGCAGTCCACCACACCCGGGAAGGGCAAGGACACTAGCCAAAGTAAGTGCCGATCATCCCGCCCCAGACTGGCCTCCTGTGGCTCGGGTCTGACCCTCATTCCTCATGGCCTCTGTTGCTTGTTTGAGTAGATGACAGCGGGACCCCAGTCACCAAGATCGAGCTTCTGCCGTCCTATTCCACCGTGGCACTGATAGAGGAACCCACAGCAGTGGAAGACCCCTGGGACCTGCCCGAGCTCCGGGACACGGGGATCAAGTGGTCAGGTGAAAGCAAGCAGGAGGGACTTCCCATGCGTGAGGGATTGGGTTCACTGCCTCCACAGGATCATCTCCTTTGTGTTACCCTCTTCCGTTCCATCGCTCTGAGGTCTTTCTTTCTTTTTATTAATTTTTAAATGTTTATTTTTGAGAGGGAGAGAGAGAGAGAGAGAGCGAGCACGAGTGGGAGAGGGGTAGAGAGAGAGGGAGACACAGAATCCCAAGCAGGCTCCAGGCTCTGAGCTGTCAGCACAGAGCCTGAAGCGGGGCTCGAACTCACAAACCCCAAGATCATGGTCTGAGCCGAAGTCGGAGGCTCAACCGCCTGAGCCACCCAGCACCCCTCTGATGCCTCTCATAAAAAGGTCCTGGCGAGGGATACTGCCTGCAGTCTTGGAGGCTTGGAGTCAAAGCGTAATGCGATAATTGGGGGATCTTTTGTTCTCTCATGCACTCAACAAATGTGCCAGTATGGGGGTAGTAACCAGGCCGGGCGCCATGCTGCTCCTTATGACCCACTGTGTGCTGACTGGTCCCAGGAACTGTGCTGTGGGTACAGCATTGAACAGACGAGACCCCTGCTCTGAGAGCCCCTGGATGGAGGGCTCTCCTCACCTAAATGTGGGCATCGAGAAAAGCTTCCAGAAGACAGAATATACAGCCAGGATGGCTGGCGTGCAAACAAATGCTGCATTTCTTTTCCGGGTGCAGGGTGTAAGGTCTGTCTGCAGATCAGACAGCTGGGAGGGAGGAGGTGAGAACCACTATAAAATCGAGCAGAGAAAATAGCATCCAAGGACATAACATTCCAGGATGTATGAGCGCCCAAGCCCTCCCCAAATGGAGGCTGTGATTGCTACCTTGTGGCCACATTTTAGAAAATAGTCTGTGCTGTTTTGAAGGTGCTTAGGAGAGCCATTATCTCTGACCCCGCACTTAGCAGGTGTCAAGTGCCCTTAACTGCCTCCCTCAGCGACACTGCTTCAGCTGAGCATGGAGTCTGGTTTGCCTGTCAGTGCCCCAGACCACACCAAACCCCTCCTCCCTGAAGCCAGTCCTTTAGAGACGCTTCACCACAGATTTCAACTAAATGGACTAGAGTGGTAATTGCTTTGAAAACTCTAGTCACGGATGCATCCCATCTCTAAGCCTTGCCATACATAAGAGCTTACAGCCACCTGGTGATGGGGGGGGAGGGGGGGAGGGTTGGTGGGGGAGGGGAGATGAGTGCTCTGAGCTCATTGCCAAACTTCTCAGAGTTTCGGGCACTAAAAGCCTGTGTCCTTTCTCCCTTACCCCAGAGAGAGACACCAAAGGGAAGATTCTCTGTGTCTTCCAAGGAATTGGGAAATTTATTTTGCTTCTGGCATTTCTCTACTTCTTCGTGTGCTCGCTGGATGTCCTCAGCAGTGCCTTCCAGCTGGTTGGAGGTATGGATGAAAGGGACAGAGATCTGGGGTGGGGTATTTTCATGCAGTTTGGTTCAGATGGTCACAAGTCAGCAAGCCCTCTCCAGCGGCAGCCTCCCGGCGTGTTTTAGGACAGAAGGCCACCGCACACCTTCTCGTGAAGTCATGCCCCCGTTTTACAGAAGAGAAAACTGAGGTCTTTAAAGGAGCTATGACTGGCTGAGATGGCTTAGGCCGGCAGCCCAGGCTGGGGCCATTTCCAAGCGGTCAGCTTCCTGTGTTTGTCCACCGACCCTAGGCAGGAAGCTGTTTGATATAAGGACTTATCTAAGGGATCCCTGCTGTCTTTGGGCCGCCCAACCTGCAGAGATTATTAGATAGGAATGCTCTCAAGCTAAAGCAACTATAGAAAATCAGGGCTGGGCCTTTGTTGGAGAAGGACAAGGTTCCCAGAGCTGGTGGATCCTTATCCTTAGCAGTTGCCTACACGTCTTGCAGGACTGAGAGTAGCTAAGCAGTGTGAGGGGGTCCCAGAAGTTAAATCACCACGTGCTTGGCCACCTGTGCTCCTCTGATGGGTGACAACAGTGATAGCCAGCACGTTGAATGCCTCCTGAAGTCCTAAACGTTTCTTCCCCAAACCCTTCCCATTTATGGAGAGCACTCAAAGTTGACAGAGGTCAGCACTTAGTTTCACAGCCTTGAGTTGGCATGGTGGGATCCAAACTCGGATCCCAGAGGGACAGAAGACCATGGATTTCTATTCCCCTGGGTGCCTTCTCGGGAACTCATCGTTGTGACCTGGGAGAATTGGGGAGAGGGGGCACTTGTGAGGGTGTATGAAGGGCAGACTGACTTCCTGGAAGCCACCCCCAGGAATCCCAGTGTAAGCAAGGGATTTTGCTCTCCAAGTGTCTCAGATGAATTGCTTCTACCCTCTTGGGCCTTGGTCATCTTCAGTGAATGGATCGGGGAATGGATTGATCGTCTCAGGCATCTGAGGCTAGGCTGGAGCTAGAGAATGGGGGTTGGGTAGGATTGATAGAGAAGAATGAGAATATCCATTCGTGGGGGGGAAATTTTCTGAGTCGGGAATCTATCCCCAGAGACAGGAATTAGCGCATCTGGAGACTCACCACCACCTATTGGGCCAAGTGCGGAATTGAGGCCAGGTTGGCGGTCAGAGAAGGCTGGGGGAGGGCTTGCTGATGACGGAGTAGTGGAAGTATGGAGGCTGTAGGGTGAAGGGACAAGAGGAACAAGGGGTGCGGCATGAGTGGGGAGCGAGGTCACAGAAGTGGAGACATGGCCCCAGGGCAGCACTGGGAAGAAGCACGTGGCAGATGCACTGGGAAGATCCCAGGGGTACCAGCTGGGCTGGAGGCTGGCCTCCCTGACCCACAGCCAGCTGGTCGTGGCTGGAGATGAGATGTCTGTGTATTCAATTGCCCACCTAACTTTCCATCTGGTGGCTGTGGGCTTGTTTTTCAGGAAAGGTGGCCGGGCAGTTTTTCAGCAACAACTCTATTATGTCCAACCCCGTGGCTGGGCTGGTGATCGGAGTGCTGGTGACTGTCCTTGTGCAGAGTTCCAGCACCTCCTCGTCCATCATCGTCAGCATGGTGGCCTCCTCGTGTGAGTCCAGGCACCCGTGGGCCCAGACATTCCAGGCATTTCCCCGCCCGGCTGAGGAACCCAGGATTTACTCTGAATGTGTCCAGGCTTGTCACCATTGTCTTCCTATCTTGTGCAGCTGTGATGTGCTCTGCTTTATCCCAGGCAGTCTCCTGTTTCCATTGCCATGGCTGAGTCTGAAAATCGTCCCCGATGCTTGAAGACCCAGCTCTGAATTCTCTAGAACTGTGTTGCCCAGTCCATCAGGCACTAGCCACATGTGGCTATTTAATTTTATTTAACCTTAATTTATTTTCACTTAACATATAAAAATTAGTTGCTTGGTTGCACTGACTGTATTTCAGGGGATCAATAGTCACACGTGGCCTGTGGCTGCCATATTGTACCATGTATCTACATGGTCCTTTCAAGAACATTTCCGTCACTGCTCAGTGCTAAGAATAAATTATAAATAAATCCACACATTGGCTTGGGGACAACCAAGCTTGGGAAGCTGGCATTCCAAACATGAACCTGCTGATATTTGCTCTGGCTGAATCAGGACAGATACTCTGAGGGCGACCAAATTGAACAGATTAATTTTTAGTACAAACCAGCATGTTAGCAAAGTTAACTAGAACTTTCTTGGGCTAAATTAGAAAAAGATATTCTTTAAAATTACTTTCACATGTTAGAACACTGTGGCAGTGTACTAATTTTGTTAGAGAAATTATACTGCTGGGAATTTGCCATAATAAATACACAAGTCCTTACACATTGTTTCCTGTTCTCCCGTAAGCTGGCCTTGCATCTGTAATATGGAGGACAGAGAAATTTAGAAAGGCACTTTGAAACTGGAATCCACAGAAGGGCTTCTTCATGGAGCGTGTGGATTCCCTGAAATTATGTGCCGGGACTTTTTGCTTGGTACATGTGCATATTTCTGTGGTGGGCTATCCTAGCTTGAATCAGATTCATAGCCTGGTGCAGACCCCAAAATGGGTTAGGAAATGCTGCTTTGTTACTTACCAGCTTGAATGAGGTCTGCCTGCCTTGGGCCACATCGGGAACATGGCCAGGCTGCCTTCCTAAACTTGCTAACTCTCACCAACTTTCTCTTTTCCACCCCCCCCCCCCCCCCCCAGTGCTGACTGTGCGTGCCGCCATCCCCATCATCATGGGGGCCAACATTGGGACCTCAGTCACCAACACCATTGTGGCGCTCATGCAGGCAGGAGACCGGAGTGAGTTCAGAAGGTAGGAGACCCAGAATCAGCCTTTGCTGCCATGAGGCTCATCGGTTTCGGCCAGGTTGTCATAACTGCCTTCAACTAGCCAATGAGAACCTTCTGGTCATTCCTAGAGCAGTTTGAAGTAGCCATTGTGGAGTACAGCTGGGGGTTGGAATCACATACTTACCGGTTGATTTAACTCAGCTCCCTGGTATGCAAAGCCAGGATAATTGTGTCGTCTGTCACCACTGTTGTCCAAAGGAGTAAACCCAGCCAAACAGGTAAATGCTTAGCAAGGTACCTGGCACATAACCAGAGCTCCCTAAATGCAAGCCCTAGCTAGAAGCTTACTTGCTGTGTGGCGTAGTTAAAACAAGGCCAGTTAGGATAGGATTTACCATCCCGCTTAGTCAGAAATAATTATAACCTCCTAAAGCTTCCTCTTTGGGTGAGCTCAACCCCAGTTACCTTTCCTTTGTTCTTCACTTGCCGGTAAAAGGCAAACTGTAGCTTTTGTGGATGCATAAGATCTGAAAACGGGACAGGTTAAAACAGGCAAAGGTTAATGTGAAAATTAACCACGTTCTGTGGCCTGTCTTGTAACTGATGGGCTTTTCCCAGAAGTTCATAAAATAGAGAAGGCAGTTTGTCTGCATGATGTAATCACCATGTGGGTCAGGCAGACAGCATTAAACAGGCTGGCTGGGGAGTCAGCAAATGTCATCCCTCTTCTGTGGGTGAACTGGCAGGTGGCAGAGGGCCTCAGAGCTGCTCATTTCCACTCAGACACGGCTAACCTTCCTTGGTCCCTGATGAAATGTCCTGAGGTTTGCAATAATAATACACATGATCCAGGGGGAAGGTTGTTAATTTGATCTTCTCAAGAAGCTGAGTAGACTTTCTTTGCCTCGTTTTATTAATATAGAAGCACAAAGAGGTTAAGTAACTTCACCGAGGGGCATAGCTCGGACTCAATCTAGGTTTCTTCCAGTTTCTGGGTTCTTTTCACTGCTACCTATGAAATATAAACATGACCTATGAAAGTGCCTGCACATAGCAGTATATAGCTCACCCCTTGTTCAGATTATTTAAATAGATTGCTTTCAGTCACATCTTTGGGGATGTGTATCATTCTTTCCTGGTGATTTGGAATACCTCCTTAGATTTCTAGGAAAATAATGACTATATCCAACCCCTATAAGGCTCCTAAAACATTTTGCCAAACTACTAAGAAATATTTACATCACTTTACATCAGAAGTATATGAAGATGTCTTAAATTACTCTCTTTAGGAAGAATAAGTTACTTTGAAAAACATTGGCTAATATGATAGGTGAAAATTTGTACTTGCAAGTAAATAAATTATAAATGTTTCCTTAACTGTAGTGAAGTGAAGTTAAGCATTTTCTCCACAAGTATATTAGCTTCTATCCATGTACCTTTGGGTTTTAGGTGTTTTTTGACATGCAGATGTTTTTTTAAATTATTTTTAATTTTTTTAGGATGACCTGGGAACTTTTTTAAAGTTTATTTATTTTGAGAGAGAGAGAGAGAGTGTGCAAGTGCTCCAGCAAGGGAGGGTCAGAGAGAGAGAGAGAGAGGGAGAGAGAGAGAATCCCAAGCAGGTTCCACACTGTCAGCTCAGAGCCCAACTCGGGGCTTGAACTCACAAGCCATGAGCCGAAACTAAGAGTCTGATGCTTAACCGACTGAGCCACCCAAGTACCCCATGCAGATGTGTTTTGAAGAAAAATGTTTTTCATTGAGCAAAAAAAGATCTCAAGTGTCATAGTGTGGAGACAGGATGGAATTCAGGAGAACCTGCAAACCTTATCAGATATAAACTGTGGTATATATTGGCCTTGTTTTCTGTGCAGGTTGTTCAGATGTTTTATCAGAGTCCCGAGATCTTAACACAAAAAGTTAAGAATTCAGTTCTGGGGTTTGATTACCATCAGACAACTGGCCTCCACCTTTCCAAAGGAAGGTTGTCTTCAATGTGCATGATTCAAAAGTAGCCTTGATTAAATTCTTCCAAACAGTGGTCCTTGAGCTAATTATTGTAGCCATAACCTGTCTACCTCCCTTTTGCTCAGCAGGAAGAACTGAGTGCTGTCTGGCTTGGTGGGAAAGGCTCTGCTGGGCAGTGGGAGACAAGGGTCCTGGACCCAACACCCATGCAGTGGTCTTCAGTCAATTCCCCTCTGTTTGGTGGCCCCCAATTTCCTCAGCTATCAAATGGGGATATTAATCCCACCCACTTGGGCATTGCTGTGAGCATGTAAATGAGATCATAGATAGGTGACTCCCTTGCAGCCAATGCAATCAATGACCAGCCTAGACTGGTGCCCACTTGCTTGTTGACCAATCTTACTGTTGGCTTGGGGTGGGATTACCTTCTTATAGGGCTTTTGCGGGGGCTACTGTCCATGACTTCTTCAACTGGCTCTCTGTGTTGGTGCTCTTGCCCCTGGAGGCAGCTACCCATTACCTGGAGATCCTGACCAACTTGGTGGTAGAGACCTTTAACTTCAAGAATGGAGAAGACGCCCCGGCACTTCTGAAAGTTATCACAGATCCCTTCACGAAACTCATTATCCAGGTAACCCATCTTCCTTCAGAGAGGGAAAGGAAGGAACTAACTCCTTCCCCTTTCCCCCCACACCCCACCCAACTGGGCAGAGATGGTGAAGGATGATGGTCTATAAACACTGTTCTTCGGTTGCCTTTGAAAAAGGCCAAGGGAGGCAAGACTTCAGGGACACCTGATAGAGCAATTGGCTTTTTTTTTTTTGTTTGTTTGTTTCCTTGACTTCAACATGTGTCCTCTTTATTGGGGTGGGAGCAAGGGAATGGCAGGTGCTTCTCAAGACTCAAGGACTTCATTGGATGCTTGGAGCCATTGTATTCCCCCCACTGACCTCAGCATCCTTGGGCTCACTAATAAAATATTATCCTGCCTCTAGCCAAGGAGGAAGGTTACTGTCTTTCCTTCATCTCAGCCCTCTGCTCACTAGGGTCTGTCCATATTATTGAAATAAATGAAAAAAGGTTTTGGGGTTCTTACCTTAGGTAGAATGGGTCAACTTGGACCTTGTCCTTTATTACCTTTATCTTGTGGTTTTTACTATCACTCAATGACTATCTACTGCATGCTTCCTAGTTACCAGCCCATTGTTTATACAATCATTTGTTTATTTGTCAAGCACCTGCTAAGTAACATCCAGGTGCTGTGCTCCATCCTGGGAGTACAGATAGAGTGAGTCCTGACTCACTCCTGCAGGAGCTCCCAGTTGGGTTCAAGTTCTCGAAGCCCCCTTAACAGCACCTCCTACTGTCCATCCCTCATCAGTGCTGAGGACGTGCTGACTCTCTCCTGTCTGTTGCTTTCCTCAGCTGGATAAGAAAGTTATCAACCAAATTGCAATGAATGATGAAGCGGCCAAAAACAAGAGTCTGATCAAGATTTGGTGTGAAACTTTTACCAACGTGGTAAGTTTCTAAGAATGTTGCTGGGTTGGCAGACTCCAGCATCCGTGCCTTAAGCAAAACCTTTAATTCAATGTGGGCAAATGAAAGGTACGGAGAAGGAAAAATTGGCCCGTGAGCCAATTAAGAAATTAAGAAAGCAAGTCTCTGAATGCCAGATGGACAGACAATGCAGTAGGACAGACTGACCCCATTTTGCTTCATTCCGCACCACGGATACATTATTCCTGGCTCGTTATTTTCATGCCTCTTGACTCACCTCTGGCTGCCTGTGTTCCCATTTATGGAGAGACCCGTGGAAACAGTGCGTTACCCTTACAGACACACACATTCATGCGTGTCTCCCTCCTACTTGCCACATTGCCTGCCAGTGCCACCAAAAGTGAGTATTATGGACTATGCATCCCATTTCCCAATGTTTGTCATCCAGACTCAGATGAATGTCACTGTCCCCTCGCCTGAGAACTGCACCTCCCCTTCCCTTTGTTGGTCGGACGGTTCCTACACCTGGACCATCAAGAACGTGACCTACAAGGAGAACATTGCCAAGTGTGAGTGGAACTCGAAAGAACATCAGCCCACCAGGTTGGGCTGTCTGGGGGTTGCAGTTGGCATTCATTATCTGTGTGAGGCTCAGTAAGTGAGGGAAAGAAGGGCACTAGGATTCACAGAGCACTGGTGTCATACCCAGTAATGAGTATGAACTTTCGCAGCAGAGGAACAGGTGCTATGCCCAAGGTCCCCCGGTAAGGGGAGGAAGGAGGACTTGAAGCCCAGCTTCTCTGGCAGTTCCATACTGCATCAGAACTCGTCAACAGATTCCAGAGTGCTCCCTCCATATGCTTTGGTATCCCTTGGGCTCCAGGGAGATGCCAGCCATATTTGCAGGAGATGCGGGTCCCACACAGAACAGAACAAATGCATTCACCCTGAAGCCACGAGTCCCTGCTATATGGCAGGCCCCATTCAAGGGCCTGGAGCTATAGCACTAAACAATGCAGTGAGCCTACATGATGCTCCCTGTCTTTAAGAAGCTAGACTGTTGCCCCAGGAATCTCTTCCAGCCCAGACATCCTTAACTCTGCTAACTATTCTTTATATAGCCATGTGTGTATTTCTGCTTCTCTTCATCCTCTCCATACCACCCACATTAATTCTGAGCAGTAAATAGTCAAGTGTGGTTTACCTCACAGAATCAATGAGTTTGCCACCTCCCATGTTCTAGGTGCTTTTCATCCATCAACAAAACCATATAATCATGGGACCACACAGGGACTTCTAAAAAACAAGGAGGTTTATAATTAGCAATAGTTCCTACTCTGACTTACCCATCCTATGCCACTTGGCTCCTCAAACTCTTCGTTGTAAGTATCCTCAATATCGTGAGTAAAACACAGCCTGGGATTTAGAGGTAGAAGGAAGCCCCTGACTAGCTCTGTGACTGTAATGATTTCACATCATCATGTTCTAGCTTCGTGAGGTCCCACCGGCCAAAACATAGCCTCAGGCTTATACTTAGCTGCAAGGGAAGCTGGAAAGTGTGGTCTTTATTCCGGGTTGCCGTACGTCGAGCTAACAACCAAGATTCTGTTACTGTGATACAGAAAGATGTTGGGGAATGAATAACAGTCTGTGGCCTTGGGTGGGGGGGCACCCATTTCCCTCCTAACAAGGGCTTTCCATTGTCTCTTCAGGCCAGCACATCTTTGTGAATTCCAGCCTCCCAGATGTTGCTGTTGGCATAATCCTGCTGTTAGCCTCCCTGCTGGTCCTCTGTGGCTGCCTGATCATGATCGTCAAGCTCCTGGGCTCCGTGCTCCGGGGACAGGTAGCCGTTGTCATCAAGAAGACCCTCAACACTGGTAGGCACACTGCCCCTCATTCTGGGCTTTCTAGGGTGTGGCATCACTGTGGCCATCCCGGGGTGGGGGGGCTCCTTTATATTTTTATTTAGCAATGGCCTCTTGTTAAATAAACTCCTGCATGGAGTTTCTCTCTTGGGTCTGACAAGCTGAAGAAGTTAAGATGCCTTTTGCCCTTGAAATCTCCCTTGGTGTCTTGGGCGGAGGCTGGGGAGTGGGCACAAGCTTCTATCACATAGTTGCAAGGTCCTGCGGAAGAGCCGGCTCGAATGCAGCGATCTGCGAGATAGGCCTTCCTTCCTGGCAGGTTTCCTATGCCCAGGACTCTCGGGTCTTGTCAGGATCCCATAGGAAAAGAGTAACAGATGCCCTCCCTGCTCCCTACTTCTCTCCACACTTGGGAAGAAAATGTGGGTCCGGATAATACATCAGCACCTTGAGGCAGCCGGTTCTCTTGCTGATGGCATCCTGTCCCCCGGGAGGGTGCAAAGCTGAGGACGTTGCCTCCCCATGAAACCTCAGGGAAATGGGGCCGAGAATGGTCTGCCTCCCAGGGTTGTCACAAGGTTGTCATGCGGCTGAGCTGGGTGACTCTGGGTGCCTGCTGGATGTGCAGGTCTTGATCCTGTGCTGAGGGACGGGTGTGTAGGACTTCTGAGCCGCGGCACTGCCTCCAAGCAATGCCACAAAGGTGGAGGATCCGCAGCCTGGGGAGACCAGGACAGGCAGAAGGAAGAGGCTCAAATGCTTTGTGGGAGGAAGGTGGTTGTTTGGGTGGTGTCTTAGTTCTGCTGCTCTAACAAATTATCCTAGACTGGGGTGGCTTAAACAAGAGACGTTTATATCTCACAGTCCTGGGGGCTGGGAAGTCCGGTGTTAGGATGCCAGCATAGCTGGGCTTTGGTGACATCCCACTCCCTGATTTTCAGGTGGCCGCTGTGCCCTCACACGGAAAGAGTACAGAGGAAACACGCTGCCTCTTCTTGTGTAAGGGCACTAATGCGTCATTCACGAGGACTCCACCCTGATGATCTAATTACCTCCCAAAGGCTCCCATTCCTAATACACTCACACTGGGGGTTTTGGTTTCAACATTAATTTTGGGGAAACAAGACATCCACTCCATAACATGTGGGTTCAGCATGTGAATATGTGTTTGTTTGTTTGTTTCTGTGACACATGCCAACATCCTTGGTTCCACCATCCGAATATGCAAGGTGAAAGGATTCCGAAAACCCAGTTTGTAATTTCCGACCGTGGTGTGGGGTGAGGAGGCTTCCGTACAGCCTGACCCTCTAGCTCAGACCATCCCCCCCCCAACCCACCCCAGGTCCTGTGGAGGTGCCAGCTGGGCCTCCAGCCCCTGCCTTCTTTAGCAGGCCCGTGACAGATCTCTTTTCCTTCTGTCTTCTAGATTTTCCCTTTCCTTTTGCCTGGCTGACTGGCTACCTGGCCATCCTTGTGGGGGCAGGTATGACCTTCATCGTGCAGAGCAGCTCTGTGTTCACATCTGCTATGACCCCACTGATTGGTGAGTTTCTCCCTGGCTCTTCCCCTATTACCGTCTCCCATCATCCCCTGAGGCTGATACTATAGTTTTTGTATTTTCCTGCCAGGTATTGGTGTGATCACCATTGAGAGGGCATATCCACTCACGCTCGGCTCCAACATCGGCACCACCACCACCGCCATTCTGGCCGCCTTAGCCAGCCCAGGCAATACTCTCAGGAGCTCACTGCAGGTTAGGAAATGTCCTGTGGGGCAGGGGCTCTGGTGAGATGCAGCCCCATTCGTGGTCTTGCAAGCAGACGGTTTGTGAACAAGAGCCAAGTTTTTCTCTGTGTTCAAAACTGTGATGTGAGGAGAAGCCACAGGAAGACAGATCTGAGACGTGTCTCTCTGTTCCTGAGAGAGGCAGTGAGAGACCCCCATCACTGGTGCTTGTTAAACAGAGGCGCGGTAACCACTTTGATGGAGATGGAGAGTATTCAAGGAGCATAGAGACACCACTTCCCATCTCCTCGCCCCCCTCTTGGGGGACTCTGCCTGGATATTAGGAGGTGACCTCTGTTCTGGACCTGGAATCGAGAAGAATCAGGAGGACCTGCCTTGCCCAGATCGACTAAGTGATCTTGGGCAAGAAGACCTTTGGCATTTGAATTCTTGTCCCGCCTTTACACGCTAAATGACCTTAGACAGGTGACCTGAACTTTGAACATCAATTCCCTCATCTGAAAACTGTGAACCAGATCTCACTAGGATTATTCTAAGGATCTGATGAGGCTCTGTCTAAAGCCAGGCTGTCCAACAGAAATCTGAGTGTAGAATATAAATTTGAGCCGCCCACGTAATTTGAAATTTTTAGGAGCCGCATTTTTTTTTTCAATATATGAAATTTATTGTCAAATTGGTTTCCATACAACACCCAGTGCTGATCCCAAAAGGTGCCCTCCTCAATAGAGCCGCATTTTTAAAAAGTAAAACGGGGACATCAATTTCAATAATATATTTAACTCCTTATCATTTCACATGTAATTTGATTTAAAAATTGGTGATGTTTTATATTTTTTGATTAAGATTTTGAAATCAACTCTGTATTTTACACTTACAGCACATCTCAACGTGGGCGAGCCACATCTCAAGTGCTCATTTGCCGCACGTGGCTGGTGGCTAACGTATTGGACAGGCAGGTCCAAAGCCCCTAGCGTGATGCCTGGGCACACAGGAAAGTGGCCAAGTGTGTGTGGCCTCTGGAGCCAGGCTACTTGGGTTTGAATCCCACCTCTACCATCTCCTACCTGTGTGACTTTGGGAAGAGTCAAAGCTCTTCCTCAATCGCCTCCTCCATCAAATAGAGATAATGATGATTTACCATGTCATAGGCTATTTTTTTTGAGGATTGTGGTAATCCACATCAAGTGCTTAGAACGGTTGCCTCCTACATTTAGGAGGCACTAAAATCAGCTGCTGGTGCTATTATTTTTCTTAACTGTAATCATCTCTCTCCCCTCCATAGAATGGGGCCATTGAGCCAAGGAAGCCAGCTCTCCAGCAAGCCTCTCCTTTGGCCGCACCAGCTCTTAACTGCTCAGCTGGAAACAGCAGGGTCAAGACCTTGGGTAGCAGCAGGCATATTAATGAAGTTCATTATTAGATTTGGCCTTCAGGAGTTTAGGTCCTGAAAACTGATTCATTTGGTCACCTCCCTTGCGCTCCCCCGACACACACACACACACACACACACACACACACACACACACACACGGTCCTCAGGTAATGCTGGCCCCTTTCTGAATAGCCTTGTGAGGACAGGGAAGACCCCTGACTCAGGATGGCTGCTAGATGACCCTTCCCTCCCCCACCCCCGACTCCACCGCGCACAACACCCATGCACCTGTCCAACCTCTTGTGTTTCAGATCGCCCTGTGCCACTTTTTCTTCAACATCTCGGGCATCCTGCTGTGGTACCCAATCCCATTCACCCGCCTGCCCATCCGCCTGGCCAAGGGGCTGGGCAACATCTCCGCCAAGTACCGCTGGTTTGCCATCTTCTACCTGATCTTCTTCTTCTTCCTGACCCCGCTGGCCGTGTTTGGCCTCTCACTGGCGGGCTGGCCGGTGCTGGTGGGCGTGGGGGCGCCCATCATCCTCGTGATCCTCCTGGTGGTGGTCCTCAGGTTCCTGCAGTCCCGCTACCCGCGCATCCTGCCCAGAAAGCTCCAGAGCTGGGACTTCCTGCCGCTGTGGATGCACTCGCTGAAGCCCTGGGATGAACTGATCTTCCTGCTCACTGGCTGTTGCCAGACGCGCTGCTGCTTCTGCTGCCGGGTCTGCTGCCGCGCCTGCTGCCTGCTGTGCGGCTGCCCGGCCTGCTGCCGCTGCAGTGGGTGCTGCCGGATCCTGGAGGAGGAGCAGGATACGCCCATCAAGGCCCCCAAGGCCTTTGATAACATGGCCATGAGCACAGAGGCCCAGGACGGGGCCCCCAGGTCTCAGGTGGATGGCCCGGACACAGAGGTCACCTCCAGCAGCACAGCCTTGTAGGGGCTTCCCGGAGGTGGGAAGGGGGGCCACCTCCCCCCTGGCTCCGCGGGCCCTTCTCTGCCCGGCCGGGACGCCTTCCCTGCTGAGAAGTGGAGTTGACATCAGCCCCCCACCCTGACCCCCTTTGTCCCGGTGTATCAGCCCGCACAGTGGCTTCATCTCAGCCCACCCCCCTCCCCTCCTCCCCACCGCACCCGCCTCCCCCCAAACTGGGCTCCCGATCGCGGGAACTGGCAGAGCAACCCCAAAAGACGATGAAAGACAATGGCTGGAGACGGTCACACTCGCCCACCCCCTGCAACAGCAGGGTGGGTCCACACGACCTACTTTCAGACTCAAACCATCTTCTTCCAAAGGAAGAGCCTCGAGGGAAGGGATTGACGGAAGGTTCTCAAAGATGCCTATGTTAAGTGTATGTTATTGCGGTAAAGCTCAGACAGCTCTCTCTTTTACCGAAGACTTGCTTCAACCAAGATCAGCTGCCCCCGGGAGTCCTTGGCCCAGACTGGACCCATTTGGAGGGGGAAATAGTGTCATTGTTTGGAGACTTGAAGACCACAGGGGTGGGTCTTTCCCCTTCGCGGAGCTCCCCAAACTCCTTGTTAGGGGGACCTCACCCGGGCAGTTCTGGCCGATCTCAGCTTCCCTGCTGTGTCCTTGTCCGAGTTTTCAGGGCGGGAGCCGCATCTGAGCTACCGAGAGAGAGGTTCGGGGTGCACTTTGGCCCACCTGTTGGCTCCACCTTTCTGAGAAGAGAGTGTTCTGTTCCTGAGCCGAGCAGTTGGAGGATGAGCCAGGGAATGGCGAGACCTGGAGGGGCTGGGGTGGGGAGACGGTTTGTCTGCTAAAAGGACCTAGGGCTCTTCTTGATTTGGCTACTTTGGAAGCCAAATTGACAGTTGCGGCCAAAGCCTAGCGCCGCTCTCTTGGTCCGATAAAATCATCCCTGATGAGTCTTCTGGAGGAAGATAAGGCAGCCCCTCTGTGTCCCTGAGTCCATTCATCCATCCAAGCCAGAAACACTTTCCAAAACTTCTCTCACGTTGCCATAAATAGGTGAGCTTTGACTTTTCTGCCCTCTCTCCCTGCCTGTGGAGATCCCCACTTTTCTCAGAGGGCAGAAACCAGGGCGTGGCTGGATTTCCCACAGAACAGTGGTCATCAAGTAGAAGTAGAGGTCCGTGCGTGGCTGTGGGTCCAAGGGGTGTCCTCTCTCTTGCCGCAGATACCTTCTCTGTGCCTTCCAGAGCGGCCTCTTGTGTTTACACCTCCTCCCTCCGCTGCTTCTCACCCTGAACAATCCCAGGCCACCCCGGAGAGGGAGAGAGCTTCAACAGAGTCTGGGGAAGGGGATTCAGTGCAGCCACACTCCAAGACCCGGTTCGCCCCCATCTTGGCTTATCCTTCTCTTAGCAGGTTGGGATACCAGACTGAGCCCTCCCCTGACCCTTACCCATGTAGATACTGTTTCCGAGACAGAACCATTTATACTCTATATTTATAGTCGCACGGGTGCACAGCATTTTTCATAAGTTATATAGGTAGTAGTGTGATTTGTGTTTTATAGTGCTCTCATTGGGAAATGAGGCCGGGTTCTACTATGAAATATAAAGAAAGAGCACCTTTGTATATTTTGTACCGCCGTCTTTTCAACGTGTTTCTGTAGCTGCGCATATGCCACACCCCCTGTAAATATGTAAGTTAAACCTGGGCAGGGCTGTGGCCCTCTTTGCACACCGATTTTTTTTTTTTTAATTGGATCCTTGTACCAGCCTTGATTTGTATTTTTTTTTTTTTTTTTTTTTTTTACTGGTTGTGGGAAGAGAGCAATAAAGGAGACAATCAAACCCCAAAGGAGTGCGCTGTTTTCAATTACAGAGAAACAGAGGCTTCCTGGATCTAGTTCCTGAAAATGTGGGGTCTCTTTCCTCAGTTAACATCACTACCCACCTCCCCATCACCAGGTAATTTGTAGGGTCCCTTGTTCAGGAAGCAGAGGGAAAGTGCCATTATAAGGTACTAAATATAAAGCTTTCCTTCAGTGGTCTCTCTCTTGACTTAGGGCTTTTTAAAATGTTGCTGTGTAGTGCTATTTTTTTTTCTTTTTGCAATTGCTTTATTTCACTTAGCATAATGCCCTCAAGTTCATCCATGTTGTAGCGTATGTCAGAATTTCCTTCCCCCCCCTTTTTTTTTGATGTAATTTATTGTCAAGTTGGCTAACATACATTGTATACAGCGTGCTCTTGGTCTTGGGGATAGATTCCCATGATTCATCACTTACATGCAACACCCAGTGCTCATCCCAACAAGTGCCCATCACCCGTTTTCGCCTCTCCCCTGCCCCCCACCCCATCAACCCTCAGTTTGTTCTGTTTCGTGTAGTGCTATGCTAAGTTAGAGTTTAAATAACTCTAAATTATTAGCATCAATTTTATGGTTCATCCTTACGTTATGCAATGTCAGTTTTAAATGGAAACATAAGAGCTTCTAGCTCACATGTGGGACTGCTGAAATTACACAACTCCTATTTTGTAGCGCATACATGTATTGTTTGTCTTGCCACAACAGCAAGAATGATGCATAAAACTCATTTTTCCTGTCTCTTCTTGACAGATGCACATTCTGCCAATACCGTACCTTACTGATGAGTAAGGAGGCAGTGAAAAGAAGGGAGGTATGAGGGGCTGACCTTTCCTTCTATCTCATCACTCCAGCCTAAGTGGGCGGCTAACACAGGCAAGTAACACGAGTGAAAAAGGTGGAGATAGGGTTCCTCAGTCCTTTCTTTTGCTGTGTTCGAAGAAAGTTCTGGTTTGAATGGGAAGCAGGTCCTCCTGAGGCTGTCAGTACCCCCGGGTACTCGGTTGCAGATATCACGCACCTGTAGTTGACATTGAGCCTTGCTGCCCTTAGGCTTATTGTGGATCTACCAGAATTCTGTCTTCCTGGGGCACAGCCAATACTCTGTGTGAGTGGGGTGCGGGGGACCATGGACACGTGTCCTGCCCATCCCGCTCACTCCCGCGCTCCATTGCCCCATAGGACTTCGCTTACAAAATGAAGATTAAGATTTTCAGGACCCTGAGGGCAGAGTATTTCCCTTCTCAGTGTGGGGTGCCATGTGACTGCATGCTCGCAAAGCTGGCCATGCTCACCACCCCATGCCAGTCACGGTGTTCAGAAAAAGTCGATTTAAATTAAGAAATGTGTGCAGAAGGACTATAAATTGGTAGCATCTCTCTAGGACAGCTGGAGCACGGGCAGAGGGCTGAGTTGGTGCTAGAGAGTGACAATAAATTCAGGGTTGGGATTGCTTGGGGAGCTGGGTCCCACTCCTGTCTACGTCATTTACTAGCTAAACTGTTAACATTCCTCAATGTCAGTGTCCTCACTTGGACTATGGGGACGGTAACGCATGGCTTCTTAAGATGATTAAAACTAGGTAACGTATGTAAATATTTAGCCCACGGTTGGTTACTGTGTTTGGTATATACAGTCATGCCTCCAACTATAAGGGACGTAACATGATAGCTGTACCAGATCCACTTCTGATGCTTGTGTGCATTTTCCTCCTCTGAGTATTTCCACAGTGAAATGCCAAGCCACAAAAGCTGCTATCGACCCAAGACACAGAGGCCAGAACGGGCCTTGGATTCATTATCAGGATGAGGTGGACAGGTGTCATGTGACTCACTTCGAAATGGACCTGAGCCACTTGGAAGACTACACTAAGAGTCTGCAGCCAGGAGACAGGATGCAAAGAGCACTTAGCATTTCGGAAACCGTTTGCTGTTTTCTATGGAGAGGCTCCCTTCCTAGTCCCAACCTAGGGTGCAGAGACAAACATCGTTTTAAAAAGGTTTTGACGTTATTTTTGTCTAATGTTAAATATCCAATAGGTGTAGAGAGTTCACAAGTTGCCCTTGTCATTGGCTCCAGCCCCCCCCCCAATACTCCTCCCGTCTGGTTTTCCAGAAACAACCTTTCCCACTCCTTGGATGCTTTCTTCTGGTATTTTGGTCCATAACCATCAGATGATTGTAATGGGTTTTCTTTATGTATCTATTCACCTGTTCTTTAGTAAATGAGGTTTATCTAACACTACCTCCACCACCATCTATTGTCAAAATCAGTCAATATTCACATTATTACGATTAATATGATTTACAGTATTATGATGATGCAGAACATTATTTTCTTCCTTTAATTTCTTTCATCAGTGATGTCATATACTTATAAATATTTTTTTCCCAATTGCTTCAAAGCGTGTGACAACCTTTTGGTTTCTTTATCTTTTTTTTTTTCATTTTTTTTTTTAACCCTTATCCTCTTGATCCAGTATAGAAGAGTGTTTTTTCTGCTTTTTGAATAGTTGTCTGTCATCTGTAGTTTGCCATGCTCCTTGGATGGAAACCCTGTTTTCTCAAGTTCATATTTTATTATTTTACTCTCTAGTTTGCGTGAATTACCCGAGAAAGGGTACAAAGGAAATGAAATTTTTTTTTAATTTTTTTTTTCAACGTTTATTTATTTTTGGGACAGAGAGAGACAGAGCATGAACGGGGGAGGGGCAGAGAGAGAGGGAGACACAGAATCGGAAACAGGCTCCAGGCTCTGAGCCATCAGCCCAGAGCCCGACGCGGGGCTCGAACTCACGGACCGTGAGATCATGACCTGGCTGAAGTCGGACGCTTAACCGACTGCGCCACCCAGGCGCCCCAGGAAATGAAATTTTTGTGTCCATGCATGTATGGAAGTTTACTTTATCCTCACAGCCCAAGAAAGCCCATCCCAAATTACTGGGCTATAGTGTGAGCAAATAAAACGGTGGTCATTTATAAGGCGCTAAGTTTTGATGTTGTTTGTTACACAGCACTAGATAACTGATACAGAACCAACTGTTCACAGCATTTTACTTAAGTCTAATGTTTTCTCCTGCATCACATTTCCTACCACCTGTCCTTCTGATCATCACTTCTTTGGCTTAATTCCTTGAG